ACACTGATCACAAACAGCTAACTTTGTGTTTTTTCCAAGCGTGGTAGCTCACTATGGTATTGCCATAGTAACCGAAAGTTAAACAATGCACCAATTCTCATTTGCATTGGGAAGGGGGTGGTTCTTTTGATGGGAAGGGGGCTCAGACAAACAAACAGCTCACCAGCTGCTTGTGTCTACATGCATACATGTTTAAATTCACATGCGCATATCAAAAGGGCATGCAAAAACGACAAAAGTATAAATACTTTATAAAAAATACAAGCAAAAATGATGGAAGTCATGCTAAATATTACATACATTTTCACAGCCTCTCTGTAAAACATATGCACATGAAAGTGTGTCCAACATGCCAGCCTGCATATAATGCTGTGAGCAGCCAGCACTTTATGCGGTTTCATCTCGTTTAAATTTCTCCACTCATCCTCTGATCTCTGCTATCAGGCGGTGCTCTCTTGATGTGTGTGCTGGCTGGCCGTTTGAAGTTATGTGCTGACTTTAAAGCGGCCAAAAGACCCTGAACGGCAGGTAGGTAGCAGATCGGGGATCCTGGGTGCTCGTTAGCCCAATGACTGTTTAATTAGCTCGATGAGCACTGCAGTGTAAATGTGCTTGCCTATTGACACAAATGGGCATCTGTGTTGTTCATTGCTCATGCGGGGCTAATTTATTCATCCTACGTTGTGTGTGTCTGGTGCACGCGTACGTCAGATAACGACACTCGTTTCATCTCGACACTTTAAAGCAACGTCGAAAAAAAAAATCACAATTCAGCAGATGAAAGGAAGACATGCAAAACATCCTGGAACGTTTTTAAATTACATATGTGTCAATGACAGCCAGACCTGATTTCTTTTGCTTAATAGTTGTCCCATTTTAGTTTCAAGAAGTCATATGTTTGAATTTTGATGCAAAGGAATAGCATACTGTAGGAACCTCTATGTTAGATCAATGTGGTTATTTTAAATATGATATAAAATAGTAAATGCATCATCTATATTTATATAATATATAACTCACATTGTGCTGTAGTATAGAGTAAAAGGGAAAAACAAAATTGGTACGTGTCTCTCCCCCCAGGATGAGACAATATTGGAATATGGATATACTTTGGAATATGGTTATACTTTGATGTTGCACATGCATCTGAAAAACAACAAAGGGCACAGAGTGAGCTGATGTGAGAAAAAGTGCACAATCCAAGTCCTAAACATGAGACGTGCTTTATATGAAGTGCTTCAAACTAACTCTTAAGCCTTTACATTACACACTACATTTTATATTCAATTGACTTTCATTCTTATGTATGAGAATGGAGGAGACAGGAACGTAAGCTCACATGAATTTAGCTGCCTTCCAAAGTTTAGTTTTAGTGAAATCTGCCCTGCGAATTCATAGCACATGAAGACGTGTGGCCAGTAGAAGATTGATACATCCTGGCGTGCCCTCTGAGCTAAATTAAAAGAACGCTAACTTTAAATCTGAAGGATTGCACTGTAAAGTGGAATAGATTGCATGTTTTTAAATTTTGGATGTGTTATATGTTACGACCGTTGCAGTGTGCATAGAAGTCTAATGTCACAGTGGCTTAAAACGCCATGCCCTCCTGACAGATGTGTTTTGTTTAATTTGAAAGTTTTTTTTCTCAAATATTTTTTTTTAATGCTTTCTGTTAATTGACAGAATTGTTTTCATAATCATTACTGAGCAACGATATCAAGGGCAATATTTAACAATAATTTGTTTTGTCAATTGCAGCCCTACGCTGTAATGAGTTCCTGTTTATTAATTTGATAATTTACAGAACATACATTATGTAGGCTATTTAAAATGTAATATAATTTATTACACAATTGTAGTACAAATACATGTAATTATAAAAATTGCCCTTAGAAAGGTTAAAAATGCCCCTTAATGGAAGAGTTCATTTCTGTCCCTGATGCGGCTCCTCAGCGAAAAGAAACAAGCCGACCCTTCCCTAGAGATAGGCACATATTCTGCGGTACCCTTCTTCTTTTGCCTTCTTTTCCAAAAATTTGTTGATGAAAACACATTTTAAGTTATACTGGAACAAAGCGATGGGAAAAAAAAATCAGAAAGTGTGTCATGGAAATGTTTTCCTGTAAAAACTGTAAATTAAGAACCAGGTCTTGTGCTCCAGGAGATGATGATGTCACATGTCCACTGGCAGAGTTAATGACTGAAATCTAATTAAACACGTACATTAATTGCCAAGAGTGCGTGATGCACCAGGACAAGGGCCAAACAAACAAACAGCAAATAATGAGCTCATAGGTGGGTCGGGTCCAGCCTGATGTCATTCTTCAACATAAATGGGAGGTTTTCCACCAATGTTTAGACATTGTAAATAATCTCACATCTGCGCCTGGTGGGTAAATTGAACATGGCACGCAGCTTATAAGGGAAGTTTTGCTGATTTTCCGTGAGTGACAGTGAAAAAGCGAGGCCAGACGTACTCGAACAGCGTCTAACCTGAAGTGTGTGAAGTGTGTGTCAAACCCTGCGAGCTTCCCCAAAACGCCATCCTAACCACTTCCACATCTCCCGCTGCATTCCTGCGGTTGGGAACGGGCTCCGGGAGCACAGGCAGTAACCCCACACTTGCTCCACATCTAAGGACTCTGCTGTGGGCCAGGAGATGGCCTTCCCAAAACAGGACTTAGAGCAGAGCCTCTTCCACAGCCCCATAATCCAGTCCAGACCACAGCATTGTTCACATTTTAATGGTCTCGGCTAGCACACAACAATACTGGAGCACTGCTGGAGATTATGGCTCCAGAGCAGTCGGGGAGGCAAGACTGACCAAATATTGCCCTTGGACACTCAAATGAGAAGCAGCATTTGTGTATCCAAATAACAGTATAATAAATAACTATATTAAAACATTTTATGCAAGGTTTATTGTAACAGTGTACCTGGGTTATTATAGTTAACTAAAACTGAAACTAAAATTAAAACAAAACAAAAAAGAAGTTATTTGAAATATAATAATCTTTAACTGAAATAACATATATATATATATATATATATATATACATTAAAGATCGACCGATATATCGATTTACCGATATTTTTCCCGATATTTAAGCATTTTACCATAATCGGTTATCGGTTTTGTAATATCGGATTTACCGATAAACGGCGCCATCTTGTGGGTGTTTTGAGAATTGCACGCAGGATCGCCATTGCAGCATGGCGTCTGAGGGAAGAGGAGACAACAACAACGGCGTGCATAGGTAAAGCATACTTACTTGCTTTGCTGTAATTAGTAAACTTTATTTAACATAACAGCCATTAATGCACATATTAGATGTGTTACATAAATGCCTGAAATGTAGCTAGTTTATGCAGTTTGTCTCTAAGAAATAGAGACGAATTCACTGAGTCACGTAAGATAATCCGTCAAGTCCTGTCCCAATAAAGACGTAACTTTGCCTGAATTAAATAATATATAGCCATGAATGAGCGCATGTTGGAAATAAAAGCGCTGTATTTAATTCTCTCTCTGTTGTCTGTATGATCATCATTAGTCACGTGAAGTCGGAGTCGGCTAAAAATAATCCATCAAGTCCTGTCTCAATAAAGACGTAACTTTGCATGAATTAAATAATACAGCCATGAATGAGCGCATGTTGGAAATAAAAGTGCTGAATTTAATTCTCTCTCTTTTGTTTATATGCTCATCATTAGTTTTGTGAAGTCGTCTGCATTTTGCTGTTTGCACAGCAAAGGTTGATGCTCAGGAAATGCTCCAGCCCGGCCACCGCATGTAACTTTGAACAAGATTAAATAAATACAACTCTATGGAAATTAATTATTTATTATCTCCACGAGCGATCACAGTTTGAGTATAGTTCTGTGTAAATGCATAGATAAACAGTGCTTTGTCAGCACGCATTTCATAATTTAGAACGACAAAAAACATTAGTAATTCTGATACAACATACCAGTTGAGAAATGCAATAAAATACAATGTTTTGTTTGTTATATTCCAATATTCCAGAGAATATTATTCACTGAATTAACATTATCCAGTGAATTATTCTTCACTCTTTAGTCTATTAAACAGCTTATAAACCTACTAAAACTAAAGTTTAAAAATCAAGATGACTCCTGTCCTTTATTTATTTTCTCCATTTGAAAACATTAGACATTCTACATTTATTTTGCTTATTAGTGTTGTTGCTGATGCTTTTTATAAATAAAATATTTTTATTGTTGTAATATGAAGATTAAATTTAACATGAAAGACTGCTAATTTTCAACACTTTCAACCAAAGTGAAGCATGGACTTACTTCACTCAGTCATTTATTTACTTTATAACAGTAAATAAATATCGGTTCTGCATATCGGTTATCGGGTAGATAAACATGCAAATAATTGGTATCGGTTGTAAAAAAAAATCTATATCGGTCAATCACTTATATATATATATATATAAACTTTATGTCAACCAGTTGCCAAGGCAACATTTCTCTTTAATTTAACTTGACCTTCAAAATAACTAAACAAAAATTTACATAAAAAATAATACAAAATATAAACATATGAAAAACAACAACAAAGACAAAAACTACTAAAAAAGACACACGCACACACACACACACACACACACACACACACACACACACACACACACACACACATTTAACTTAATGAAAAAGTAAAGTTAGTGAAAAGGAAAAGTTGTTTGAGATAAACAATTTTTGGTCCAAGTTTATTATTATTATATTTATAAAATTTATTTTTATTTTATCCCATTAAAAATATGTGTGAAATGACAACAACATTTTGACAATGACAACATGTATTAATAGAGTGAACAATGTCCATTTTTGATTACAAGTTGACTAACAGAATACTAATGTGTACATTAACGTAAAAAAAAAATCTTGAATTGTAAAATTGACTATAGTGTACTTTTAAAAGAGAAGACTGTACTAATGAATTTGGTGTCACTCGGATAAGCCGCACGTACCTGAGTGAGTCCTCCATCTTGCTCATCTTCCTCTTGCTGTTGGTTCGTTCCTTTTCCAGCTCGGCCTGAAGCATCTTGCAGCTCTGACAGGACAGCAGAAGTGTCAATCACTCAACACGCTTTATCAGCTCCCGCCCTTCAGCATCACTAAACAGAGCTGATCTAATTTTCTAAAGGTCAGAGGTCAGCCGTGAGCAGCCGCTGGCAGACGGCTGGCCTGCAGGTGTATACGGCCTCTGCTTTGCAGATGTGCCCTTGACAGAAATTCGCCTCACCGTCCTGTTTTATGACCGGACCGGCCCTTTGAAGGTGGGGCGGCAGGCAGCAGCCAGGTGTCTGAGACTGATCTTAAAACTTATCTTCACCTGATTGTGTCGGCCCAATTATTAAAGCAGCCTTTTTATGACAGTTCTGAAGCTTTGAAGACTTTTGAAGGGAGTCGCTTGGCAGCAGCTTTTATTAAGTCTCATAATTAGCGGGGCAATCAGGTCGGACTATGACTGTCCAGTTATGCCCCCCTTTCATTTGGGAAAATACTGGAGACCCTCATGAGGCTGTGCTTTGACAAACAGCAACTGTTCTCTGTTTCCACCTGGCATTTTTGGTGATCCGATTACAAGTGATCAGTGCTAAATACAGGTGTAAACAGGGTCTAAAATGTTTTGTGATCAGATCACAGAATTTATATACGGGGGTAGACAAAAATGCATGTGACCACATCACATTTACAGCGGGAAAACACTAAGTGTCCTGAATGTGTCCTGGACCGCAGTGAAGCTCCGCCTACTCGCCGCCCAAAAGTGGTCAAAGGATACACGTTTGAAATGCATGTTAATAATATAAATGGTAATGCATCTCACCTGACCACTTGAGATCAGATCACTGAAAACAATGAAAATCTTAATACCAGGTGGAAACAGGGCCTTGTAATCAGCACTAAATATTACAGTCTCAAATGTTCACAATAATCAAAGTGAACTAAAGGCTGGAATACACTACACGACTTTTAAAATCTGAACAGATTTTTAAAACACTAGGCATCATACACTTACCGACACTTACTTATTGTAAATAGTGACAATGGAAAACTGTCCATCATACACCACACACTTGAGGATCACACACAACCAGACTTTCAAGTCATTCCAATCACAACAAACTCATGCGGAAACGTGCGCCTTGTTGCTAGGAGACATGTGACACATGAAAACGTGTTCTAAAATCGGCTAAAAATATCAAACATGTTTGATATCCTCCGGCTGGATGGAATCATAGTCTGAAGCAAAAAAACTGGAGTCTTTGACCGTTTTATTAGGCTATTGCTGCAAGTTTCTTCGTGAAACTGAAATATGACAAAACTAAATTGAAATTTTAAAACAAACCCCAAATCAAACAAGTTACACAAATAAAAGAAACCTCTTAATATGAACAAACTAGGCTTTGTCTGTGCTCTTTCCATTTAAAATGAGAGGCAACCACTGGATTTTAATCATAATCCAAACAAAGATGCTGCATACATGCAGCATGAGTAGTTTTTAATCTAAATTAGACTATATAATTTCGAAATTTGAAGCAAAAACAGAATGGTCTGACTTTAGTTTTGTGAAACTATACTACATAAAACATATCTGAAGGAAACAGCAGACGAGCTGAATGAGACGCAGATTCACTCTCTGACAGCAGGTGGCACTTATGAACAGCAATGATACAGTGTTTCCTGAGTTACCGCTGTAAACAAAGCAGCTCTGCGCTTATGAACACTACTTTAATATGCATTGTTCAGAGGCAAGATGAAAAGAAAATACCACGTAAACTTTTCTAAAGATAGTCAGTTCCCCTCAGACATACATATAAACTCCTACTCCAACTGTATCGTGATTTGATTGGCATCTCAACCGATTTGGATCGGCACATATTTGAATCAATTTTCGACCGGCTCGCGGTTAATCGTTACATCCCTATTGGCTACTGTTTATTAAATTATTAAAAACGTGATATGGGTTAAATATAATATTGTGATTGTGAATACATGAATTACCTTTTTGTCAGTGATGTTTTGCATGTCTGTAATCTCTTGCTGCATCTACTTCTCTTGGTGCTGTAAATAAATACATAAATCAAAACAAAATGTTTTCATGTTTTGAGCAGTTATTATTTGGCAGCCCAATTATAAATAATTGTTACTTCTGTAATATGGCATATTTCTGATTTAAATAGGATTTTCAACTGAAAAAAAGGTGGGGCTTGATTTTACACACAGGGAATTCATTGAATAGTGAAAAATAACTGGTTGGATGGGAGGGGTTGAAAAATCAGAGGGTCTGATGATAAGGAAAGCAAGCAAGTTATTATGTATTGATAAAAAGATCATAAAGACAAATATTTGTTTTCTCTAGAATAACATGGACTGATGAATTGTTCATAAGACAACCAGGGTAAACTTTGATTTCATGTTGAATTTATGGGCCGTTCACACTGACAGACTTGAGCGACGAAGGAAATGGTTAGAGTTGGCACCAAAATCTGATTTGGACTTTTAACATTCTGCAAATGAGCAGTGATGTGATGCAATGACTATCAATGGAACTGAAGTCAGTGGATTGGCAATCTGCAAAATACAGCAGCCAGATGCTTGTTACTGTGTTTCAAATTGTGAATCCCCCCAATAACGAGGGCAAAGTGCAGTATGAACATCCTCTGACTTGGCGGCCTTACTGTCAGTATGGAAGGGTGTAAAAAAGTGTGAGCGACTGACCCTGAGCTGTTTCTGTCTCCTGTTTTCAGCTTCCTGTATCGGCTGTTTGAGGTGAATCCCAGTCTGTTCCAAATCTTCAATCCCCTCTGATGCCTGACAACAACACAAACTACATTCATAATATGCTATGAAACCATATCCTTTAAGACAATCTCTGACATCAGAAAAACTGAGATTAGCTCAGTTCCAAAACCTAGCAGACTGCCTTCCTAGACAGTATTTCCATCACAAACATCCACCTGATGCAAAGGCCCTTCATTACATAAAAAGCAGACTGAAAGTATACTCTTCTTATTTTTAATTTAAAAGAATTACACTAATAGCACAGTCGAATACACTTTATTTGGCACATCAGTCTCAGAATACATTTTGACAAGCTCAGTGCACTATCCAAGAGTCAATTATAAACAGACTTTTTAGGACAGAAAAATCCCCAATATTTCTGCATTTTTGTGGTTGTTAGAATATCTTAGAAGTCCTAATACAGTCTAATGTTAAATTCATATTGTAGGAATCAACTGTGAGTTTAACTTTGCTCTGTTCTGCACTTCATGCGAGTAGTAATATTTGGGTGGAAACAACTGATCAATAATTGAGTTTCAGTTCAGTCACTTCATTTGGGTTAGGATGCTGCAATAGAAAGTAGCTGTCGATGTAAACAGCAGAAAGTGAGGCAGGGTTTGTAACAGAGCTAATATATCAGGAATCTGTCCTAAGTTTGTATATCAAGTTAATTCAGTTAAAGCAATGCTCTTGGCTCAATAAAAAATGAAGCAGTCAATTATCACAGGGAATAAGAGTGAGTAAAACATGTGTAGGTGTGAGAGGTGAGTGAAGATGCATGCCTTGGCTGCAGAGAGGGCATGCTCCTGCTGGAAGTGGCTCATGTCAGCATTATGTCTAGCCTGAAGTTTCTGCAGCGTGTCTTCATGCTGGTCTCTCATCTGCTCCATCTCCCTCTGCAGGGATATGCTCCTAAATCATACAAACAACTTTTTATTAGAGTGATAAAAATCTTGAAACACAGTAGCTCCAATCTCTATTACACTGAATTAATTTCACGGAGCTAATTGCAATGCATTGTGCGACTGCATTATATGTGAAGGATATATGCAACATTGCCGAGTATTTAGAAAAGCCTTCAAGTCAGGTGTGTTTATGATGCCGTTTTGATGATCTGTTTTGGAGCAGAGCTATGATTTTACATCAAATCTCTGCAGCTGCGATCAGTCGTATCCGAGCTTTTCTGGGCTGATCGGGTGGATTTCCTGTACCTGTGGTTGGCCTCTTGAAGCTCAGCGCTGATGGAGGCGATATGAATCTCTAACTCAGCTTTCTCCTGAGTGACCTTCTGCCGGAGCAGGTTCCCGTTCTCCACCTCCACCGAGAGCTGCTTCACCCGTGTCTCCAGCTCATGCAACATCTGCTTCTAGAGGAACCAAACAGAAAAAAGTAAGATAAGAGAAAGAGACTGAGGAAGTATTGTAGAATGGTTTATGGTTCAAATAGTTCACACAGTGCTGCAAAACATTTTTGTTAACTCTTTCGTCAATGGCAATCAATGTTTTCACTGTTATATGATAGGGGGTGCTATTATGCATTTTCTGAAATGGTACGGAATCTCTGGATCCAAAAACAAGTGAAGAAGAAGCAGAAACTACATATGACTGCAAGTCTTGAGGGTGTTGATGGACACAATCTATGCGATCTATGTTCTAAATCCGATTTGGACATAGTCTTTAACAAAAATTTTCTTTAACAATAGTCTTTAACCAAGATTTTCCTCAGCTTTGTGTCCAAAATGTTGCTTTTTAATGAAACTTACCCACATTGAAGTGTTGATTAAAAAAGAAAGCATAAAGCTATAATAAATCAGTTTGCTTTGTTGAAAAGCAGAGGCTCTGCTCTTTCTTTTGGTATATTGCATGTAATTGTATTCATACAACAAAATATTCTGTGGGCCCTGAAATTTTGTGGAAATTATCAAAAATGCTGGCGCTGGCTAGCAACTTAAAAAGCTGATGGGGAAAGGGTTAATGTATTGTGCTTTACGCAATAAGGCTGTTTCAAAGCAGACAAAAATAACAGTGTTAATGTTGCAAAGTTCATCAATTAAGAAACAAACTCAAAACCCAAACTTCTAAATGGTATGTATCACTTTCCACAAAAATATTAAGCAGCAAAAATAGTTTTCAACACTGGTAATAAGAAATGTTTATAGAGCAGCAAATCAGCATATTAGAATGATTTCTGAAGGATCATGTGACACTGGAGTAATGGCTGCTAAAAATTTTGCTTTGCCATCACAGGAATAAATTACATTTTTAAATATATATATATATATATATAAAAAAAAAACAGTTATTATAATTTGTGATAATTTTTCACATTTTACTGTATTTTTGATCAAATATATTGCAACCTTATTGAGCATAAGATACTTCTTTCAAAAGCATTAAAATATCTTAATTATTCCAAACTTTTTACCGGTATTGTAGCTCATAACTTTTTCAAAAGAGTAGCTTTGAGTGTCGTTGAACTACTTTAAATTATGTGTAGCTTGTCTCTCGACAAACTACAGCTTCACAGTAGCTTCCCAACACTGATTTCCACTACAAAGAGACAGCAGAGAAAGGCAGTGAACATATCCTGAATAGAGAATTCTTCTGTAGATGTGATAGTGAAAGTTGAACAGTTCAGTAACAGTGAGCTTAAACAGCTTTCTAACCGCATTTGTGGCCACCACACCATCCTCATCCACCTTCAAAGTTCATTGGAGATCATCTTTCAAGCAGCCTCAAATCTGATGCACCTGTGGGCCTCTGTACTTTAGCACAACCCAGAGCATGCTGGGAATGAATATGAAAAAGGCATGTGAAGCAGATCAGCAGCAAAGCATGGCTCAGTCCTCAAAGAACATCTAGCATTTGAAAATGAGACAACCATATCTGACGAAATACAGGAAGGGGAAAACTTTCCATGGGACAGCAAGAGCTGTTAAACCAAAACCAGACAGCCTGCATGAGCAGAGCTCAGACACACACACACACGCCCGTGTCTCATTGTTAATGGAGGCCACTGTCCCGTGCGTGGCGAATGGAATGCAGGCTGATATGAATGATGACAGATTATTGATTGAAGATACACAGCTGAGATGATGAAAGTGACCAGTGATGAAAAGTACAGCTTTCTGATGGCAGCGTCAGTGTCAAAACACTGGAAAATAGGCCTTTGTTAACTCCCAGTGTGAAATGTGGCATGATCTGAAAGAGTAGGGTTTGTGCTATGACGCACGCTGCTAATTAATACACTGACCCGATGGCACATAAAAACGTCTGGTCTCAGCCTGAGCCATTCAGCAACCAGCATAGCTACGCATCCTACTGTAATTGTATATTTAGATAGTGAGTAATATCAATTCCCAACATGAAGACTATAGGGTTAGGGTTTGGTTAAGGGTTAGTTACATATTAATTATGCCTAATTTACTGTTATTACTATAGTAAGTACATGTAACATTTGCAACAAAGACACTGTAAAATAAAGTGTTACCAATAATTATCAATGTTAAAGATCTCGCTTATTACTTAATTAAGTATTTACTAAAATAGTAGCTGCTGGGTAAAATGTGTCACATGATGTGGGGTAAGCTGTGTGTAGTAAATTGATCACTTCTCTTCTAATTTCACGAGGCTAAGAAAAAATACATTTAAGTAAACATTTTAAATTGATTTAAAGGGGTCATATGATGCAATTAAAATTTTTCCTTTCTCTTTGGAATGTTACAAGCTGTAAGGTTGCAAAGACTAAAGTCTCAAATCCAAAGAGATATTCTTTATAAAAGTTAAGAGTCAGCCACGCCTACCTAAAACGGCTCGTTCTAACACGCCCCCACATATCTACATTACAATGTGGGAAGATTCGCATAACGCCACCCAAATGTTCACGCAAAGAAAGAAGGCATAACTTTTATTCTCGCTGTAGTATTGTTGCCACCGCCATGTCGTGAAGGCACTGTGTGATTCGTTGTGAAAGTGAAACTACTTTGTTTGGTCTTCCAAAATAGGACGATATCTGCTTCATCATGCCTGGAGCTGATCCGTGCTGGTTGCTGAGGAAATACAACAACATTTCCGCTGTGTATCACCAGATCGGCTTTCACCGTGGACGAAGCGGAGTCCAGCCCGGGGTCGTCACATGTGGTTGCCGCAAGCCCTCCGGACGCTCCTTCGTCGAATCCGCCAGCCGCGCCGTTCTCAAGCCCACCGGCCTCTGCACACTCTAGCCCTCCGGCCGTTCCTCACTCTAGCCCCCGGGCCTCTGCTCACTCTAGGCTGCCGCCGCTCACTCTAGGCCGCCGTGTGTGAAAGCAAAATTAAATAATGCCCCACCAAGTTGCTGAATACTGAATAGAAGAATCAAATTTTCCACGATAAGTCTCCATTGCAAACTAAAAATGTCATCATATTTGCTTTATGTTGTATCAGGAGGCACATGCATATTGTATGTGCTTTACTTTGGCAATCAAATTTGTAAATAAAGGGTAATTCATCAAATTATCTGCCCCATGAGTACTGAGATTTAATATCACAATGGTAACGCTAGATCACATGTTAAACATGTACGACGGGGGTCACATATATTTGTTTTACATGTTATGCATTTGTATCTGTATAGATAAGTATAATTTTTCTAGGACTAACAGTGTCTACACTGGGTAGCTCTAAGCTTGAAACACTCCATTATTTTAATGTTTAATTTCAACTCTTCTTTTTTTCAATATCTTATACCAATGTTATAAATGCTTTCGGTTGCACTTTATTTTACAGTACGTGTGCTTACATGTACTTACAGTGTACCTACATAAGAATGTACTGGTAATATAAGGTAACTAGGGTTAGGTAAAGGTTAGGTTAGGTTTAGGGGTAGGTTCAGGGTAAGTACCTAGTTTTTACCTAGTTATTGTAATTACTAAAATAAGAACATAGTATGTCCATGAGTAACAGGACTGTAAAATAAAGTGCTACCATGCTTTCCTTTTTGTATATCAAGTGATCATAGTGTAATGACCATAGTGCATACACTCCTAAAAATATAAGTTCCACAAGGTTGTTTTTGGTTCTCAAAAGAACCTTTCAAGTAACAACAACAACAATGACAATATGCACTGTAAAGCACCTTTTGTGCAATGGAATGGTTCCTTGAACGTTAAAGGTTAGACACCAATATAGAACCTTTGTTTTTAGGAGTGTAGTTTGATTGTTTTGGACAAATGGAGGTTGTACAAAAGGATGCACTCAGAATCACTTAGACTGGCTGGTCATCACGTCTGTCAGGTACAGTCTGTGCTATGACATCAATGCATTTAAAGTCATCAATCTCCATTGAGCCCTGACTGTGATTAATATGTATCTTGTCATCAATATTCAATGTGTTGCTTCCTCTATTGAGGACTGACATTGGCACCACCATTGCACGCTTCAAAACTTGCCGATCAAGCCACCAATGAATGTTAGGAATAATAAGCAGAAGAAAGGCTGTGCCGACTTTTGACACGCTCCCATGCAAGAAGCCACAGGTAAACAGACAAGCACCCGTTGGTGCTCCGATCTCACCCGTCCAGAAGATATGAACGATGTGACTCCACGTAGCTTTGAAGAGCTTTTTTGAGAAATCAGGATAGCACCAGAGCGTGCTGCACAAAAGAATGATGAAAGAACGAAAGATAAACAAAGGCTTTCAAAGGCTGGAGTATTGAGACATCAAACGCAAAGTAGAAACAACACCCAGCATCTCACCTCAGCTGACATATCGACAACAGCAGCCTATGAGGAGAGAAGAGGTAAGACAAGAGGAGGGGGGGTTATGGGAAGAGAGGTTGGCGAGGTCAGCCTAAACCAACAGAACGGGAGAACCTAATTTCCAATGACAGAAGGGCCTTTCATCTGGGGCCCTGCCTGAAAATGTGCTGTGCTTAATTATTAAAGAAGGGTCTTACTCTGTGGGGTCGGCATGCATTTGAAGTCTCTTAAATTCAGCCCTGCTGACAGACCGCAGCCGGCCATCTCAGTGTGTGCCCTTACCTGTATGACAGCCGCTGAATGCTAATTTGTAACAAGCAAAACTCATTAGGCCTGTTCCACGGATGGACGCGCGTCCCAGCTCATCTCAGAGCACCGCAGTGCTTCGGTCCCTCTAGTGGGGTGGCTTCAATCAAAGGCTCTAAGGCATGCTTTGTTTCAGGCACACCCTGAATGTACACACAAGTTTACAAGGTGAGAGAACAGGAGAAAAGACAAAAACAAAGAAAGCTACTCTACACAACGCACACAAATGCTTGTCCAATGTGTTACAAGGGTGTCTTCCTATGGTGCTGTGGCAGTAACAAACCTCAGTACTCAAGGGGGCAACAGAGTTTTCTTCAAATGTATATACCATTAAACCAGATGTGTTTCTGTCCAGGTCAGCAGCTGTAAACATGTCAAACTGTTCGAACTGTTGCTCCGCAGGGCTGGTTATACAGAGGTGCACCATCAAACAAAAGCAAGAGCATCCTCAATTGAAGCAGTAATAATAGTATATAATAGTGTTGAGCATTGTAGCCAATCACACGTCTGTTGATCTCTTGAATACAATGACCAATCAGAGGTGTTTAAGTTCCACTTACTGCTCAAAATGCTGGAGTTTTCGTGTAGTGCTTTGTTCTGCTTGCTTGTGAATCCTCTCATTATATCAAACAAAAGTGTAGATGCAATGTAAATAAGACTCTCGTTGTGCAGTGTAGTCAGCTTCAGTGATTATAACGTACATTTTCACAAGAGCACGCCAGAACTCTGTAAGATCACGATGAACTGAAGTGAGTGATGTTTTTTTTAGTGATTCTGAGTGATTTGATTCTGGACATAGGCCTGCCTGTTATTCCGCCATGACAGTAGCCGACTTGAAAGAGAAAGTCATCGAAGAAAGACTATGCTGATGCCCCCTTGCTTCATCACTGAGAATACCACTAGTATTTGCATAACATTTCGACTTCCATTCTGACACATTCCAGAGCGCAACAACGTGTGAAATTGAGCACATGTATCTAGAAGCTACATAAGAACGTGAGGCATGAACAGTGCTGAAGGGATGCCACAAGTCTCAATATAATATTGAACTGTACGGTACAAAATGCACGGTTCAATATGGGCTTATGAATTGCTTTTTTTTTTCCTTTCGGTTTTGCATTTAAATAATTTCTGTGCATTTTATTTCTCTCCGAACTGGCTCTGTTGTATGTGCCCGTGAGTCTACATGCTTAGATGAGGAAACGCCTCCCCGCTCTGCTTATAACGTACATTTGAAAAAGCAACACATGCCAATCATCTTCCCTTGTAATGACTTGCAATAAGAAGCATTTCTAAACCTGTCATCTAACAAAATAGAACATTATAACATGTTTTTACTCCACAACATCAGTTGGATGTTTAAAATAACTTCCTTTTGTGATCTGATGTGGCTTATCACAGAATGAGGCAGAAAATATATTCTATTCTGTAATAAAGGCTATGTCAATTAGCAATGGACTACAAATATACTTAATTATTATGAAAACGGCTTGAAGAACACAGATAAACCATATAGTGTTACAGTCATGTGTTTATTGTCTTCATGTTGGATCAGTTCAAGCGTTTCTTCTTTTCATTCAGTTACATCAGGGGTATCAAACTCAATTCCTGGAAGGCTGGGGCCCTGCAGAGTTAAGATTTAACCCTAATTAAACACACCTGATCCAATCAAGTCCTTCAGGCTTATTTGAAAACTACATGGTATGTGTGTTGGAGCAGGATTGGAACAAAACCTGCAGGAATTGAGTTTGACACCCCTGAGTTCCAGCAATTGCAATGCCTTTGTCCATATTAGGGATTTCCTGGAACGTCATGAGTTCTATTACTTCTGTATTGCACATGTGTAGTTTCTGCGTACGGGCGTCCTCCAGCTTCCAGTGTGAATGAAACAGACATTACATGTGTTTATAGAGGTCAATACTGCCCATTTCATCCTATTGTGGGTAAAAATAGGGAAAATAATACTTCTCTCAAAAAGAAATTTGAAGTAGACCTATGATAATCCATGTTTTTCTACAGTGTACAGGAGTTTTTTTTTTTTTTTTGGTAATTTGTTTTAAAAATTGTAAGTCACCCAAAAAAAATACACTGATGTGCCAAGCCATCAGAACAGAACCAAACCGAAATCCGTGGTTAAAAAAACCAATATGTATTGAACCGTGGGCTGCACTGTAGCTGAACAACAATATTTGAACTTTGTTGTTGCATCCCAATCTGAAGTATGTGTGAATGTACTCACAGTGACCCTGTGTCTGGCTGCTGTACTCAGCCTCCATCTTGGCGAGTCGTTGGTTGGTGGCTTCCAGCAGCTCCTGGATGTTGTCTGTGTGCTTCTTCTGCAGCTCAAACTTTTCTTGTTCCAACTGCAACTACCAGAGAGGAGGAACCAATCATACTACATAGCTCAATAAAATATAAACTTTTCAAGACTCTGAAATTGTAATATTTATAATTTCAGGGCACAACAATAAGTTTGTTTTTTGTTTCTGCTCTCACAACTGGCCAGTATTTTGTAATATTACATGTTTTACGTAATATTAAAGGATAGAACAAACACACATAAACTACATGATGGATCAGACTGCTTCACTCATTTCCAATTTTAACTTTTTTCTCCCCCTTTACAATCCTTTCAACTTTTTGGAATAAGAATATTTAATTATGAATAATAAAAAAAAGCATACTAAAAGTTTGCACGACATAAAAACAGATGATCACACTGCCATCTGGCCATCCTTAATGTTGAGCCCTGAACATGAATCCTACAGAATATTATGTTTACAAACAGAGAACAAAGAGAATGTTTTACAAGGCCTGGAGCAAGATACCCTTCAACCAAAAGCCTGTAGAATGGCAGGGCCGTATTCTCTGGGAAAACCTTGAGCTTTTCTTTTCTATCTCTGCAATAAACATACACATCTACTGAGCACTCAGAGAAGATGGATTTTTGGGATTCTTTCTCATACTCAGACGGGATTGGTTGAGCTCTAAACTCAGTGAGTGTCCAGCATTCAAAGCTCTGGCTGCTAGAGGGACGGGCCTGTGGAAACTTGAGCCTTTTCAACCCTTCCTTACCTTCTTCTCCCATTCGTTTTTTCAGAGATTCAGCACTTTGATCAGACATTTTCTTCAGCTCGCTGATCTGTTTCTCTTTGGTCTGTCGGATGACCTGGGACTCTCGCAGCAGGCTTTGAACTACAGGGGAGAAAGGGAGGCAGACACAAACATTCAGGCCTGGCCGCAGGGCATCTCTCAGTCTGCTTGCACCCCAGGCTGCCCCGAACGGCACCACTCTTCTTGACTCAATAAATACATAAATAAAAACAATAATACACAACAATGGGTATGAAAACAAGAAATGGAACAACATTTTTGTGTTGCATAAGTTAAGGTGAAGTGTATTACAGCAGAAAGCCAGTAAAGGTAATGGGTTTGAGTGATTTTACCATGGTTAGGGAGTGATTTTTAGAAGTTAATAAAATAAAATAAAATAAAAACTGGAAGATGTGACATTCCACATCGACATCACGTCATCATTAATAAAGATTAATTAGACTAAATAATTCTCTCAATAAATGATTAGCATGTTGTCAGTTAGAATTATATTACATGAAAATGAAAAGCGTGTTCTGTGATTTCGGGAGGTAATTCATAACTAGGTCAAAGACCAAAAAAATGAAGACTAACAGCCTCTTGAGTAATTTGGCTCTAACAAATACCTGCCATTGACTGCGGTCCATGCTTTACTACACGTCTGTTTACAAGGTTCAGCTTTTGTTGGCTCCTTGAAGCCAAGTCTTAAAAGGGTCATATGATGCGATTTCAAGTTTTCCTTTCTCTTTGGAGTGTTACAAGCTGTTCGTGAATAGATAAGATCCCTAAAGTTGCAAAGATTAAAGTCTCAAACCCAAAGAGATATTCTTTATAAAAGTTAAGACTCGTCCACACCCTCCAAAAACGCCTCGTTCAAACACGCCCCCACATGTCGACGTCACTGTGTGGGAAGATTTGCCTAACACCGCCCAAATGTTCACGCAAAGAAAGAAGGCGTAACTTTGATTCTTGCTGTAGTATTGTTGCCGCTGCCGCCATGTCACTGTGTGTTTCGTTGTGAAAGCGAAACTACTTTGTTTGGCCTTCTAAAAGAGGACACAACTAGAAATCAGTGGTTAAGTTGTATTTACAACACTGTTCCAGAACAGTTCAGATGTTTGAACCAAATATTCAGATGTGTGCAACGCATTTTATGGAGGACGAGGACTGTTTCCTGGGAGAGTAGCCTACAATGTCGGTGTTCCGGTGAATTCAGTTCCCCTGTTTCGCCTTGTGAGTTTTGAGCAGTGTAGAGTAGCGCTTGTTGTTTGTCGTTTCTCCGATCACAAATGCAGACATGATTTTATGTTTATGCGGTGCGATGCAACGCAATGCGTAAAAAGACAGTATAAGTCATTATAATCAGTAATTATGTCCCCACTGGATGCAACAAATGCCTCGTTTATAATGGGTTTTATTGTTTTGTCTCGTCGTGCCGGGACACAGCATCACAGTATGGTAAGGGGCGTAACATTTCCATCACACGCTTGAGGAATTCGCCCAATCACTTCGCACTGGATAGCTGGCCAATCATAGCACACCTCGCTTTTCAGAACGATGAGCTTTGTAAAAATCGAGGCGTTTCAGAAAGGCGGGGCATGGAGGAGAAACAATAATGTATAGTATGTGGAAAATAATGTTTTTTTAACCTTAAACTGCATAAACACATTTCATTACACCAAATACACAAAATAATGTTATTTTTAGCAACGTCATATGACCCCTTTAAGAGTCATTTTTGGAGCTGCAGAAGTGGTTTACAGCTGGGGTGCACTAGGGAACACCTTACCGGTGTATAAACACAACCTACTTAATATGTTCTACACTCACCTCTCTTCTCCAGCTTCCGAATCGTCTCATCCGCCTCCTTCTGCTTCCCACGGTACATGCTCTTTAGTTCGTCAATCTCGCCATTATTGCAGTCCAAAATCTGAGAAAACAAACACAAACCAGGTTTTACGTTTTTTGAAGAAAATGTGGCTGTTGTTGTGTTTGGTTGTCATGGAGTTTCTAAGCTGTTCGGAACAGTTGTTAGGCTGCTATGTGGTTACTAGTGTACTCTAGGTTATTTATGGTCTCTAGATATGGCTCAGTGTAATATTGTGGGATTTTTGCCTGTTTTATCATCTACCAGGTGAAAATTACAAATGCAATCACTTAGTAGATGAACAGGTACTATTCATGTCACAAATAGTGCATGACGAGTTCCTAAGTTTAAAGCTTAGGGTTTGTTGAGGCCGTGACACATCAGACCAAGAGTGTTTCTGGTGTGTTCTGCACTAGTTGGACCACATTGTACATATACAGTTTGTACTGTATATCCACAGTCCTAGTTTCTGTTTTTGACTGACGAATACAGACTACTGCCACCTGCTTGCATGCAAAGTTAATTTCTCTCATGCAGGCTCAAAACTTATGTGCCAGTTGGTCGTTGGCTGCAGTCTTTACGTTGTGTTCAAGTGCAAATTTTTGGCAAAGACACCAGGCAACATGAGGCGTCAACACTGCTGGCTTTCATCATAGCTAGTTCTGTGATGTCGGTTTGGTGTGTCACAGCTTTTAGAGGTTTGTTCAGATCACTAACCCCAAGTGTGAGCAATAGTAATAGTGATGCCTGCATTAGCAAACAACTCTACAAACAAGAAGCATTCATGACACTAAGAGGACGGATGACAGAACATTTATGTTCCAGACTTTCCAGCTAATCTAGAGCCATAAATAAATTTCAGTGGGAACAGAGTATAAATAGAGGTTTGTAATGCTTCCATATGACAAGCTAATGCTGGCTGCAGATTACAGACGATAATGTTCTTATTCACAAGCATGACCATGAAGGAACTCGCCCTCTCCTGCGTCACTGAATGCAGGAATTTTCTGCTTTGAAGCCGATGTTTAGCGGATGGGGGTTTGGGGGTGGTGGGCAAGATCCCCATTTTTGGCCCATGTGTTAGGCTTTTAGCTTAAGTATATTATCTGTAACAGTAGTGTAAGCTTAAAGCAGAGGATGACAAACCCATATGAATCTCACATTATGCTCTGGGAAGGAAGACCACTCCAGGAGACTTAATCATGACCCCACTGACAAGAAAGGCAAGTTTATTTATATTGCACATTTCATACACAATGGTAATTCAAAGTGCTTTACATAAAAGAAAAGAAAATAATAATAAAAAATATAATCACAACAATAAAACAAGGAATTTAAAAACTTTGAAAATGATTTAAAAATTGATTTAAGAGGTTTAAACTTAATTTAAAACAGTTAAGAATAGAAAATGATTATACATAAAATATAGTGCAATCAGCTCAGACATTGCACAGTGCTCATTCAATAGATGCACAGCTAAACAGATGTTGAGTCTGCATTTAAATGTGACTAATGTTTTAGCACACCTGATCTCTTCTCCAAGTCTTGACTGGAAACAAAACATCTAATTCTTGCAATGTTTTTGAGATGATAGTATGCTGATTTAGTTACAGCTTTGACATGACTACTGAAACTAAGGTCTGTCTCCAGAATCACACCAATATTCCTGACTTGATTTTTAGTTGTTAGACCCCTAGAGTCAAGGTATGCATTCACTTTAAGAACTTCATCTTTGCTTCCAAATGCAATAACTTCATTTTTTTCCTTTTAACAAAACAATTTGGTTCTTTCTCATTATTTGACTTAGTGGGAGCATATAGAGGCTAAACAAGAGCGGTGCAAGAATTGAGACATGTCATGGACGTCCACTTACAAGAGCGGTGCAAGAATTGAGACATGTCATGGACGTCCACTTCGACTTGTGCTCTCCTATACTCACATAATAACCTCTCCCTTCTAAGTATGACCTGAACCAATTGATTACCATCCCAGAAAGCCCGACCCAGTTTTCCAGTCTCTCTAGTAGTATGTTATGATCGACAGTGCCAAACGCAGCACTGAGATCTAGTAGTTCCAGCACTAATATTTTGCCAGAATCAGAATTTAAGCGCATATCATTTATTATCTTAATGAGCGTTGTCTCTGTGCTGTGATGCGGTCGGAAACCAGATTGAAAATTGTGAGGCGTTCATCACTTCTAAGAGATCTGCTTCTAAACAGTTAAGCACCCTTTTGAAAAAATATGTGGGAAGTGTGTCAAGATAGCGGGTTGATGATTTAAGGTGCTGTACTATTTCTTCAAAAATTTTGCTATACATTTCTTCATAAGCAGACATAGTATCTTCTTTTTGATATTGCGGTTGAATCTGTCTGACCTCTGCATAACTTGGGAATGTGCTAATCGCCTTCCTGATATTATTGATCTTCTCAGAAAAGAAGGAAGCAAACTACTTGCATTTGCTGTCGGAGAGCATTTCACTGGCAATCTGACTTGGGGGGTTTGTCAGTGCAAGTGTTGTTTAAGTTGCTGTTTATAAGGTTTGAGAAGAATGACTGTCTAGCTTTGCCTAGTTCCACATTGAAAGCACGTTTGCTGTCTTTATAGATGCTATAGTGCAGGGGTTTTCAAACTGTGGGTCGCAGAGTGGAACAAGTTGGGTCACACAAAGTCACTTGGCTGCAGCTAAATTTGCGTTTCAATGACACACTGTGGGAAGTGTGTCAAGATAGCGGGTTGATGATTTAAGGTGCTGTACTATTTCTTCAAAAATTTTGCTATACATTTCTTCATAAGCAGACATAGTATCTTCTTTTTGATATTGCGGTTGAATCTGTCTGACCTCTGCATAACTTGGGAATGTGCTAATCGCCTTCCTGATATTATTGATCTTCTCAGAAAAGAAGGAAGCAAACTACTTGCATTTGCTGTCGGAGAGCATTTCACTGGCAATCTGACTTGGGGGGTTTGTCAGTGCAAGTGTTGTTTAAGTTGCTGTTTATAAGGTTTGAGAAGAATGACTGTCTAGCTTTGCCTAGTTCCACATTGAAAGCACGTTTGCTGTCTTTATAGATGCTATAGTGCAGGGGTTTTCAAACTGTGGGTCGCAGAGTGGAACAAGTTGGGTCACACAAAGTCACTTGGCTGCAGCTAAATTTGCGTTTCAATGACACACACACTCATACAGTTCAGTCTAGGGCTGCACGATATAGCCTACCAACATTAATTACGAATTGCAATATCCTTAGTGCGATTTTTGAATCGCAATTAAGTCCGCGATTTGAAACATGCGAAACTTTGCTTCTTATGCTTTGCTAAAAAAAGAGTTGGGTGTGCTCCGCTCTCCCCTACACACTGAAAGACCATGAATGCATTTTCTGCGCTGAACCCCGCGATGAGTTTAACAACACTCGCAGCGGATTACAGCTCACTGGAGTGAGGCTGTTTCACGTTTTTATGGACGTTTCATATTTTAACATCTGTAAACAAAGAAATTAAAACTTAAATATTAGTAGTGAAATTTTTCAGTTGTACTCTAAAATAAAATGGTTATTTTTCTTAAATACTTAATTTCTGTCATATTAAACTTTTAATTGAGATTAGGCTTAAAGTAATGTCAGTTGTTTTTTTATCTCAAATATTTTGGTGGGTCGTGAAATAGATTATACTTGTCTAGGTGGGTCGTGGAATGGAAAAGTTTGGGAACCCCTGCTATAGTGGATTTCAAGTTGTAGTAGTGTTTTGGTCATGAACAAACCAAATCATTCACTTCTGTCCACTGACATATTTTTCACACACTAAAGTTTCTCCCTTGTGAAGCACTTCACTGCTTCTCTCTGCTTTAAAAGACTGACTATAGCATGAGCAAACAGCATATCATTAGCAGACATTAGCATGTAAATAGCATATCAATTGTTGGACCTGCAAAAAGTATGCGTGAGTCTGAACGACTAAGAGCAGTGCTGAATGAACTGGCATTTGTTCACGATCAAACTAAACAAACTGGAACATGTTGTTTGTGAATGTACTGAATGAACAAGGTATTTTATTTGTGAAGAGGGATCTGATGACTGACAATAACTGAAAGAAAAAGGGGCACTGGTTCATTCAGGAGAAGAAATGCACATTTATGAATGTGTAAAAATTACTTATGACTATATGCAATTAAATAATAATGTTATTGGAAGTAATAATACATTTAATTAGGCAAATGGTCCCTACCATCCCACAACAGTGCACACCATGTGTACACCACTGCTCATGTATTTCAAACATATTTTTATACCAAGCGAAGAACGAAAAATGTGTGAGTATACTGGACCCTTAACAGGGTGTATCAAACAAATGAGACATTCAAAATGTACAGTGTACAGGTTTGGGAACCACTTCTGATGCTTGATCACTCTTCAAAGAGTCTCTTTGTAAAAATGTTATAAAGTATGAGACTGTTTCTGTTGTGAATGATTCAGAACCAATCTACTGAGTGATCATGATTCAATGACTCACTCATAATACACAAAAACAGACAAATTTGTCACCATCTACTGGTGTAATAATGTAATCTACAGAATTGATCACTGAAGGAACTAATGCCAGAATCTGAATGAATCTTTTGGTTCAAAAGAGTCACTTGAATGAATCAAAATCTCCACCACTTCTCACAAACATGTTTGATAGCAAACAGAGCATGTGGCGCTACGTTTTCCACTCTATGGACGTGCGCTCCGCTCAGTCGCTCTAACCGCACAAGCAAGCGCTCCGTTAATATTCCGCTCACGCTCACCATGAACCAATTCCCGCTCAGATCCTGCTCCGACATAACATTTCTCTAGTAGGCCTAATTGTTTACTGTTTGTAACGAAATTCTTGGATTATTGTCTAAAATTAAGCATGCTGATAAATAGCTGTTGTTTCAGAGCAAAATTCTTACATTCTTCTTAATTTTATTATTAAAATTTATTAAATATATGAATCTAACCTTAGCAAACCTACCTAAAATGCAAAAACTGAAAAAGTGTATTTGATTTTCGTTAACTTTATTTCCGTGAAAATAGCTGCAGTTGTTGTGCAATAGAACATTCAAAACAGGCTCATTAAAACACAAATGCACACACACACGAGATGAAATGTGTGTAGATCTTTACAAAATACACCTGGATCATAAAGCCTGTGAAAAGCACACGCAAGATAAAATGCACTTAAAGAACGCTTGGTTTATGAACTGACGTCAATGAAAAAAACACACTTTCTAGTGTCAAGTTAAAATAAACCATAACTGCGGGGAACTGTGGTCTAGCGTAGCACATCCTCGTGCTTTCTGGCAATGTGCCGCTTCAGATTCCAATATGAATCTTTACTAACTCTCCCCGCACTCCCTCTCAGTTTCTTCTCCCTGTTTATTCTTAACTTAGATTTTTTTACCTTACATTTATGTATAAGGCTTGCAACTTCGTTGAAACAATATCTGAACTCCATAACTGCTCTACTATTCTCGATCTCTACAGATTCTCGATCTCGAACAAGCAAATCACCAAACGGCATTCTGGGTTGAGCGAGCGGCGCTGAGCGTTTTGAGCTCACATGCTCTGATAGCAAATGAGACCAAATAAATATGCAAAATAGATACACAGAAGTCACTCATTGAAGTTTTCTGTTGGAATTATGTTTTGTGAGAGATTTTGCGTTATAAATGAAAAAAGAAAAAAAAGAAAAAAAGAATATGGATAAAAAGAAATGGAGCGATCTCTTCACTGAAAACAGTGTTACGTATTCCTTCTGATGTGTCTCAGGAGCATGTTGAGTGTTAACATTCCAGACTCTCAGAAGCATGAATGAGTGTTGCCGGTATCTGAGAGGACTTGAGCCACAGCTCTGAGAAACTCACTCATGACCTTGTCCTTCATCTCCCAGAGACCTCTGCGGTGGGCTCCCAGACTCCAATGGACCGGTTCTGCGAGTCCTTAACAATCTGCCCATTGTGTGACACAGCGCAGGCTTTTGATGAACCCAAGGAATTTAGATGCGGGTGGTGGTGCGGGAGTGAGCCAAGTGCAACCTGTATTTAGCAAGACCAAATAAACAGCAGATCTGCTGGGCTTGTTCCCAAAAGGCAGTCCAGTCTTGTGCCTTGAGCTGTGGGCGATAAGATGCCTGGGCTCAAGGTGGGGCGGGCAGTTCAGAATTGTGTTTTATCTGATGCGGCCGCTGCACAGCAGAGAACCGTTTGTTCAGACCGCTGCAACTCCTTTGATGGCCTGACCTTCTAAAAGCCGTCTGTGTCTGAGTGGGAGTTCAAAGGCTGTCGGCCATTGTCTCAGTGAGGGTGGACAGCGGCGTTGTGACCAGGGGTCTGTAAATCTCAAAGGACCCTACGGAGATCAACGGCTCGGAGGACATGACAGGGCACACGCACCGGCCCGCTCGCCCCTGGACACAAGCGAGCCCACCAACGGACAGCACTGCACCGCGTGTGTGTGGTGTTTATAGGGTCTTCAAAGAAAGATGCACCTGAACAAATATTGACATTCTCTGAACAAGTACATATGAGTCTTTCAGAACCAAACAACAGCGCTCATGAAGAGCAAGGCAGACACAATCACGGACAAAAAAAAAATCATATGAACCAATTAAGATTTCATGTAATGCTGATTGCACAGAACGGTGAATTAATGAAAGATCCACAGGAAGCTATTGAGGTTCAAAACCCATTGGAGAAACTAAACAAGGATAGTCTTCAAAGGGCTTCAGCAGCAGTAAGAGCTCCTCTTTACAGATGTACTCTCTGAGGTTGGGGGTGATGGTCCCTCATGAGGCCTAATTCAGCAGTGTTTAGTGAAGAGAGGTTGGGCATCACTGGCGAGAGGACCTTTTCAGCGCTGGTCTTTCAAACACAGATGCAACTTCATTCAAACCAAAAAACCTCCCAAAAGTTATTATTTTCTCTCTCTGAAAAATCAGCGAGCCCATCAATGGATTATTTATCTTGCTTTTTGTCCGTCAGAAGTGCACTCTGTTGCTAAGCTTATCATCCTGCAAGCCGGTCGCCTGTAAAAGATGAAAGCTTGCAGCTGAGAGTGAGGGAAAGAGGGGGCGTTAGGGAGGTTAAAGGGAAGTTCATGGAACATTTAGGGACACACACAATTTTCCCATAGGCTCTTTTCAGACACACATCAGAGTCATAATAGAGTGTCGAGGACAAGGTCCAGAGGACGTTGGACTTTTAAGGATGCCATGAAAGACAACAGTCTGCCAAGAATCATGTTTCTGCTTATAAAGGGGTGGGGATACACCCTGTAACATCTGTAGACCTCGGTCATTTAATAGACTTTATTAAAGCAGAATTTAAGGTGTGATGTCACTGGAACTGAATGAAACAGACAGCAAATGTGGAAGCCACAGAGGAGATACTGACACAGCACATGCTGACTGTTATGTTTCAGGAGGAGTATATTACCTGTTTGAGTGTTAGTCCTGCTCTGGCCTGAATGATAATAAAACCAGTACCACTCAAACAATATAATTTTAATGAGTGTTACATATGTGATGTTTGCAGAACCTACCTAACCTTCAAGATGTGAGCAGTCAATCTGTGTCTCATCAATGTACTTGTCATCATAAACTTTGAAACAATTTTCTCCTCTATTAGCAGCAAATGTATCTATGGTTTATGAAGAAACGTTATGCATTAAGCAAACTGGGTTGAACTTGGTTTATGGGTCAAATTTCCTTGTGTTTAATATATTTAATAATTTTGTTATTTAAAATGTCTTTCTTTTTGCACACACACACATATACATACATACATATATATATATATATATATATATACTGTATATATATATATATATAAGTTTCGTTTGTACATAGTTTGAAGGAGAAGATGTGGAATCTCAGATTGACGGCATATACAAAAATAAGTGTGTAAGAAAAATACTTACATTTTAACCTTTGGGCCAACTGTCAAATGCAGGTATACGAGTTCACACTTCATGTAAACATCAGCACGTTATGAAGCCTGATGTAAATGCGTTGTGAAACAATGATAATGATAACAAATCCACTGTGCTTCTCGCACGAGTTTACATTTGTATTACATGGACATGGATTATTTTTCTAAAACCCTTCGTTTGTGTTCATCTGAAGAGAGCAAGTCATATACATCTGGGATTGCATGAGGGTGAGTAAATGATGAGAGAATTTTAATTTTTGGGTGAAGTATCCCTTAAACTTAAGAAATATTTTACAGGTTAATCGATTAACAAAACGGTTGTTAATTGCAGCCCTAGAGTTGTCACAAACTGTCATTCACCTTCTGAATCTCGGCATCATGTTTCTGCTGCATCCTCACTGTATCCTCTTGATGTTTGGCCTCCAAGACTTTAGTTCTCAACTCAATCTACAAATGAAGAACAGATGAAATGACACTATAGCATAAGGACAATAATAAATGCATTTTATTTTGTTCTCTAAATTCTATGTATAATGCTAGTTAAGGTTTCTTGCACCAAAAACGTAATTTAATACAATTAATACAAACTTCGGTTTTCTCTCTGACCAGACAGAACAGGCTGACTTTGCTACTGTACAAATTAAGACATCTATATGTAAATGATTGGCTAGCCTCAGCAATAATGGTGTAAATTCACAATGACATTCATCAGGACAGATCAAGCTCAATACCGAAAAGATCTTGATATGTAAATGTGTGACCTCAATGCAGTGATATCATACTATAATAATTTCTAAACGAGCCCTTTTGGTGGTTTTGTCTCAGTCTGGGTTGACTGGAAAGAAAGTCATAAATGTTAAAAGTATGTCTACACAGCACATCAAATCATATAAAAAAATTCAAACTTATTTCAAAGGAATGTTTTTCATGACATGACCCATTTATAAAAAGGCAAAGCATAGGAATGTCTGAACTACAGTGTTCAGTTTCATTTACACCTACAGAAAAACAACACCCCCAGTCTTTTTGTTTTTGAGATCAGTCATTGAAAGAGTCAGTTAAGAATCTGCCGATGTTCAGAGCAAACACAAAACGACATGTATTGTGCTGTTAGACACTGATGAAAGAGCCCATCTGTTCAGAAGGACACAGATGAATAATACTGGACAGGAAACGGCAGATAGAGGAAGATAAAAAAGTAACTACAAACATAATGACAGTTGAACAGTCCTCATAAGCATTTCAACACATGGGAATCGTATGGAGTTTACTGTACGGTTCCAAATCTGATTATACTTAATTTATTATTACATACATTAGCATTTATTTCAGCACCTTGAGGACCGATATAAAACAATTACTCATGAGTTTAAGAGGGATTTGTGAGCCAGTAGCAAGCACCACTAATTAACTTCCCTCATGTAAAGCAACCTCAGGCTTTTAATATGCCTCAATTTTTCTAGGATCAAAAGTTCAACGTTTTTCTTTAGTGGCCTGTTAGAACATGTGTCCCGGGCTCTTCAGGTTGTCAAACCCGCACACACTTCCGCTTACACAAACATAAAGTACAGCTGAAACTTTCGTCACGATGGCCGCTGGTCATTCCTGAAGCGGCGTCTTTCTTCTCATGTATTTTGGGAAACATGTTTTGATGTGGCTTGAGCAGGATTTGTGTGTGAGCCTCCCAGCCCTCTGGCTGACTGTGGATCAGGGCTTTCAACTGCTGCCACCAGCGTGGGACACGATCTACTGGCTTATCAGATCCGCTGCAGGCCACATGGCCAGAGTACAAGAGTGCAAGAGAGAGATCCAGACGTCTCTAGGCCACAAGAACATTCACAGAGCCACAGGCCATTTCTGCTGCCTGTTAGAACAGACTCAGACTGACAGGGAAAAACCAACTCAGCCGGAGTGGTCACTGATGGGAGGAGTGCAAATTACAATTTAATGGAAACATTTCATTGCGTTTGAGCTTCCTCTTGGAATGACGTGCGAGTCTTTAGTGTAAGCATTTCTGTCTTGTGAAAAAAAATTCTGAATGCGTTTTTTGCCCTTATTTCAGTGACTTTAAAATGTTTGTTTTTCACTAAAGCACGCATAATGTTGTTTTCTCAAAAACACAATCACGTACATACATGCTGCTCGCATATTATTGTAGCCCAGTATGTGCTGATTACAGTGTTGTTAAACTTTAGCCATTAAAATGTTTATAAGCAACTGAAAAAAAGGACAAATGTCAGGGCATGTCAAAACTTCTCCATTGCCTCAAAACACCCTCGGACCCCAGAGGGTTAAAAGAAAGAATAGACCTGTTGCCTGGCCTATCTTTTTACTGCATCATGCATAAAATCGCACATGCTGTACTGCACTACTCTTTATTTAAAACACGTTGCTTAATGACATCAACCTGTTTTTATCCAAAGGCTGGTCATGGTATACAGGGATACTTTTTATATTTGGCACAATGGAACAGATTGTGACCCATGATGAATGAACCAAAATGAACACACTGAAAGCCAAATGTATTGACATATCAAAATTACACAGACAGAATTGCTGGTATATTGTAGTTTGGTGGAATGCAGAGACAGTGGTTTTACATAATGTAATTGGATTAAATATTAACTGAATTGTAAAACTATTTATAACATATCACCCAGCCCTAGTATATACCTCAGTGTCATTTCATATTCAAGCCCAATCCATGAAGACATCTCATGCGTTCTACATAAACAATGTATTTATTTACACATCAAAAACATGAAAACAGCCCAGGAGGCCTTTGACAACTCCAAGGAGACAGAGAATTCATTGGTTTCTTTCACTTCTGTGATTCTCAAAAGTTACTTTTCTGTGAAGTAAGTGCGTATAGTGTGTAATATACAGCACATCAGCTGCTGGTGTCTAGCTGACAAGAACATTTACATTTACATGGAGCACAACCTCTAGTAGCACTGAAACTGATGAAATTATCATAATAAATCTTCGCAAATGGTCTAAAGCTTCGGCCAAAGTTTCCCTATATAGTAGCAACCTCATGTGTCTTCTGATCCACGCTTTACCTGGCTCTATAAGCACCACTTTGTGCTTGTTCTTACACTTGTTTGATAAGTAAAAGCATAATAAACTGTGCAGGAGAACTGAATTAAGCATATTATCACTTGCACACTGAAATGTTATATTTATTTTAGATTTGATGACTTCATTAGTATTTCCTACTTGAATACAAGTCTGGAAGAAACATATTTCACTTGTGTCGTAATTTGCTTCTTTTATTACTTGAACATGCTCATGGGGACGATATAGTTACCTTCAAATATCTGCCATTAATGAGACAGATGTACTGCTGTAAGATTTTCTGCATCCTAACATTAAAGGTTATTACTCACCTTCAATGCATCCTAGGTGTATATGACTTTCTTTTTTCAGACAAATCCAGTCAGAGTTATGTAAAAAATTGTCTTTGATCTTTCAAGCTGTTTAATGCCACGCAGCGTGTGTTGCATACATCAGTCCAAAATAAATAAAATAAAAAGCTCCCATCCATAAAAAAAAGTGTCTCACACGGCTCTGGGGGGTGAACAAAGGCCTCCTGTAGCGAATCGATGCGTTTTTGTTAGAAAAATATCCATATTCAAAACGTAATAATCACTTTAATCTAGCTTGCGCCAACAGTTGTACACAGAAGCAGCTCCGGGAGCATGACGTATGTGTCACGAATCCGGTTCATGAACTTTCCAATTCATTGACTCTCGCACTACACACTGTTGCACATCACCCCGGACTACATTTCCCATCATGCATTGCACTGATTGCACTCAGCACGAATTGCACACACCTGTTTACACTGATTGCACCCAGCTGTTTCATATCACTCCCTCACTATTTAACACTCACTCTGATCCCTTCCCTCTGCCGAGTATTGTTTCAGCGTTTATCACTCTCCTAGAGATAGCTACCTTACGGAGCCCTTGTCATTGCCTTAGCCCTAGTCATTTGTCTTAGCCTTAGTCATTATCACCCCGGACTACATTTCCCATCATGCATTACTGATTGCACTCAGCACGAATTGCACACACCTGTTTACACTGATTGCACCCAGCTGTTTCATATCACTCCCTCACTATTTAACACTCACTTTGCCTTAGGCCTTAGCCTTAGCCCTAGTCTTAGCTTTAGCCTTAGCCCTAGCCCTAGCCTAGCTGTTTTCCCGGTTTCTGATCTTCGCCTGGTTTCCTGGATTTCTCCCTTAGTCTTGCCCCTTCTGACTCTGTCTGCCCATCGTCGACCCACGCTAGCCCTAGGACTGTTCTTGTGTCTTGCCCACCATATACCTGTCTGCCTCTGTTTAACCCTGCCTGCTTCATGACCACGTCTCTGTCTTCTCCACAATAAAGCCTTGCAGATGGATCCGCACGTCTCACGTCTCGTCAGTTCTGTAACAGTATGAGGTCAGCGTTGCGCATGCGCCGATGAGTCTCGTGAAAACCAACGTTTGTTAACAGGGGCAAAGGAAGCAAAGTTTCCTTACTTTAATTAGTTTTAATTCGTGACCGTTGTTTTGTTTTGTTCTCTTCCCTGCACTTCCGCGTGCGTCACTAATGAGCGGCGCATGTGCAAAGCCGACATCATACGTCATCAACAGTGAGCGCAAGCTAGATTAAATTGATTATTACGTTTTAAATATGGTTATTGTTCTTACAAAAACGCATCGATTCGCTACAGGATGACCTTGTTCACCCCCCGGAGCCGTGTGAGACACTTTTTTTTTATGGATGGGCATTTTTTATTTCACTTCTTTTGGACTGAAGCAATGCAACACCCGTTGACTGACATTAAACAGCTTGAAAGATCAAAGACAATTTTTTATATAACTCTGACTGGATTTGTCTGAAAGAAGAAAGTCATATCTAGGATGCATTGAGGGTGAGTAATTTTTTAAATATGGTTATTGTTCTTACAAAAACGCATCGATTCGCTACAGGATGACCTTGTTCACCCCCCGGAGCCGTGTGAGACACTTTTTTTTTATGGATGGGCATTTTTTATTTCACTTCTTTTGGACTGAAGCAATGCAACACCCGTTGACTGACATTAAACAGCTTGAAAGATCAAAGACAATTTTTTATATAACTCTGACTGGATTTGTCTGAAAGAAGAAAGTCATATCTAGGATGCATTGAGGGTGAGTAATTTATGGGCTAATTTTCATTTTTGGGTGAACTAACCCTTTAAAGGGACAGTTCACCCAAAAATCTAAATTATATCCTCATTTACTCACGCTCAAGGTGTTCTAAGTTTTGAGTTAACAGTAGCCATTGACTTAGTATGAAAAAAATTAATATATATATATATATATGGAAGTCAACTCTTTTTCAAAATATCTTATTTTGTGCTCAGCAGAAGAAAGAAACTCATACAGGTTTAGAACAACTTGAGGGTGAGAA